TCCGGTTTCCACCCAAACCAGGCAGCCTCAGCGCAGTATCTTTTGCACTTCAGATTGTGATTTATTGTCAGATACCGGGACATTAAAGTCAGTTATTCAGAAGAAAAGTCTGTATCAACTTTTGAAGCTCTGGTGTATTTCTCTCATTCGTTGTTAAATTCTGGGGGATTACAAGAAATAACTGAATTCTCAAAATAAGTACTATTTATGTCTGCAGAGTCTTGGCCCTTGGAAGCTTGCTCTTTTTTTTTTTTAAATATTTTATTTATTCATTTGAGAGAGAGAGAATGAGAGATAGAGAGCACGAGAGGGAAGAGGGTCAGAGGGAGAAGCAGACTCCCTGCCAAGCAGGGAGCCCGATGTGGGACTCGATCCCGGGACTCCAGGATCATGACCTGAGCTGAAGGCAGTTGCCCAACCGACTGAGCCACCCAAGCGCCCTGGAAGCTTGCTCTTTTTGAAGAATTTTATTAGATGTTCACTGGTAAACTTGAACCTCTTTTTCTCTTCCTCTGAGCCTTGCTCTGGGTTGTCCACCCATCCAGGATGGAAGCCACCTGGCCTTGCCCCTGCCACATTACCTTGTGTGTCTGAGCCCACATCCCATGAAGCACCCAGCCCAAACCCGAAAACCTTCCAGGGAAGGAATGAGTGCCACGATCCAAGTGGATTCGCCCAGGCCACTCGTGTCTGTTCTCTTGATCTTCAGGTTGGCAGTGCCCACTCTTTCGTCTTAGATTCTCTGACCCTTGCTCCCACCCTCCCCTTGTTCCTTTTCTCACCTTCCTGTTCCATGTAGGCTCTCCTTTACCAAAGTCTTGTCTCAGCATTGTGCCCTGTTAGAGGGCTTCAGCACCAGGCCACACAAAGCTTGTTACCTTGCACAAAATCACACAACTTTATAATTAGAGGATGACTCCCATCCAGTCTTCTGAGCTGAGACCTTGTTATTTAGCATTAGAACACTCCATCGCGTTTCTGTTGTTTGGGGCCTCGATTAGGTTGCAAACTTCTTCATTGGACATCTTTTGAATAATGGGCATGGACATTGAGTCAGAGTCCAACCCAAAGCCAGAGGCAAGATTTTTTGGAGGCGACATCTGCAGGTGGCGGTGGTTCTGGGTCTGCTCGCCGAGTCACATTACACAGGAGCGCCCGCGGGTCAGCAGCAGTGCCGGCCCTCGCTGTCCATGGGGGGCGGCGCTGAAGCCTCTGCTTCTGTTCTGCTTGAGCTCAAACCCATGACAGAGACAACCCCTGGAGAACATGGGGAGTTTAAAACACGGCCAGAGTTTTCGAGTTGAAGGTGACGCTGTCAGATTGGTCGGTTGGTCGCTTGTGCATGCAAATAACCGATGTTCAGGAGGTGTGTGTGTGTGTGTGCGCGCGTGCGTGCACACCGCACACGCGCGCGCATTGCTTAGGTGGGCTGCATTTCTCCAGCGTGTGTGGACACCACAAGCAGAGTTATGGGAGAGTCGGTTCTGCAGTACATGTGGATGGGACACCTGGCTGGCTCAGTCTGTAGAGCATACGACTCGAGCTCAGCATCATGAGTTTGAGCCCCGCGTTGGGCATAGAGATTGCTTAATTTTAAAAAGAATTTTAAAAAGAAAAGGGGCATCCATGTGGATAAAAGGCAGATTTTACCCCCCTTGTTTCTTGGAGGTGCCTTGATAGTACACATTGCTTTTGTTTGTAGGTCACACTCACTGCTTGGCAAGATCTGATACCATAGATCTGGAATAAGCCTCGGCTTCATTGCACCCTCTCTCACATGCTCTGCTTGCCAGAGTCCAGACAGACCCCCAGCAGTCCAGGCGTGGACTTCAGCTCTGCCTGCAGGAGGCGGTGAACTGTGGACACGCTTCAAAGCTTTCTGGCCTTCTTGCTCCCTATACAAATTTATCATTAGATGGGGAGATATTTAAAGGCTCTGCTCAGTCACATGTTTTCTGATAGGGTCCAGGAAGCTTTGCACTTGACTGTGCAGTGGGCAGAGGCAGTTTGGGGTTAGGGAGGTAGGATGGGTGCATAGGAGGTGGCATTGCTGGTTGGCTAATGAACTCTGGGAAAACACGGGTGTGCCTCATGGCTCAGAATGACTTTCTCTACATTGTTAACCTGGACATAGGTCACAGAAAATAGGGTGGGGGAGGGCAAACAGATGATTAACAAGGAGGTGACCACGATGCCGAGTACATGGGTAGTTTCTAACGTGAGAGAGGACGAGCACTGGGGGTGCTGCTTAAGAATTTAACCCTTGAGATTTGAATCACGCTGAAGGGCCCCACCTACTCATTCAGGAAGTATTTATCGAGATCTTTAGAAACCTTTGTATCATGACACATCATCCCCTATCTCCTGGGTTTGCCTAAAGCAGGGCGCACCTTTTTACTTGGAGACGTTGTGCTCGTGTTCATCTCGGCAAAATCCCTCAGAGAGTGGGCCTCGGCAGGGCTCGCGGGAGCTAGACGCAGCAGTGCTGTGTATGGACGCCCCCCGGGCGTGGGGGTCAGGGCTGCATTTCAGTCCAGCTCTGCAGGGGCTGCCTGCCCTGGTCGGCAGGACCCCGCGCAGCCGGGAGCCTGTCGTCCTGCATGTGACGCAGAGCCCGTGCTGCGTCCGCGCCCCTGCAGCTGGGGTCTTGCACACGGCGTGCACTTGCGCAGCCGGGCCTGGGGAAGAGCTCTTGGCTTTGTTGTTCTGGCTGATCTGTAACCACCTGTGTGTGGAAAGGGGGAGGCAGTCAGTGATGCAGAGAGTGGGGCAGAGCGGGAAGACAGGACAGAGTTGGGAGAAAGTAAGAGTTCCTGTGTGTCAGTTTGGTTTCTTTCAGTTACTGGGATTTTTTTTAAAGATTTTATTTTATTTTTTTATTTAATTGACAGAGAGAGACAGAGAGAGAGGGAACACAAGCAAGGGGAGTGGGAGAAGGAGAAGCAGGCTTCCCGCCAAGCGGGAAGCCCGATGCGGGGCTCGATCCCAGGACCCTGGGACCATGACCTGGGCCGAAGGCAGTCGCTTAACCAACTGAGCCACCCAGGCGCCCCTCAGTTACTGGGATTTGAGGAGTAAATAGCAGTTCTTCCCTGAGTTCTAAAGTACTGAGGCGGTTGGGGGGGGGGGGATAAGAGACCCGTTATGAGTGATGATGCCCGTCCTGGCCCACGTCTGCAGGAAGCGGATGGCTCAGGCAGGGACCCCACGATTTGACAGACCTGCCCCACCAAAGCACAGGGGCACTGATCTCCACAGCCTCCTGGGGGGGCAGGGGGCAGCCCTGGCCTCCTAGTGGACTGCACCGTCCCCAGAGTGGATCCGGCATGTGCTGTTTGCCAGTTGGGTGGCTCCCAAGAGGCTGAGGAGAGAAGCAGCCGACACTGCATGCCCAGTTCCACTGCCCTGCTGTGCAGAGGAGTGAGGAGAGGCGGGAGTGTGCTGCAGGCAGGACTGCGGGGGCGGGGGGGGGGGGGGGGGCAGAAGTGAGGGGAAAGTGTGCCCCAGTGATGAATCCAACACACTCTGGCTGAAGTTACCAAGGGAATTCACTCACACCATGGGGACAGCCTAAAGTAGAGCCAAGATTCAGGCTTGACGGGATCCAGAAGCTCGAATGGCCTCGAGCAGGGTCGGGGGGGGGCGGGGGCTGCCTTCTCCCGAGGTTTGGCTTCACTTCCTCCTCAGAAAGTTCTTTCCCTGTGCCCTCACCAGGATTCCAGACTTCTAGGACCCTTAGATCTTAACTTCAAAGATAAAGACAGCATCTTTTCTGACCTCTCCGTGAAAAATCTCTGTATTACGTCAGAGAGGACCATGAGTCCATATCTGAATTAGTCACTCTGGATTGAGGGATCAGAAACAGCGTCAGCTCTGCATCACTTGAACCAAACAGGATTAGAGAAAAAAAAGTCTGAAGGGTTGGGCCTCCAAAGAAGTGCTGCACATATCCACCAAATTTTAAAAATTAACAGTAGTTAAGTTGCATAATGGGACTGTGGTTGTCTTTGTCCTAAATACTGGTCCCATTTTTCTTGGCATGTATTACTTTATAAGTTGGGTGAGGGTATAAAAATTTTCATAAGTCTGTTTTAACCTTGCCCCCAAAAAGATACAGGATGCTAACAAAAAACCTGTAAAATAAAGAGATAAATAAGCAAATGAAACAAGGGGAATAGGAGATTGAGAAGCAAGAGCCAAAGAGGAGTTCCTTGATATTTGCCAGAAATAGGACACCTAGATGCAAGAAAAACCTTTTCCTCAATTTGGGAGGGACTCTAAGGAGCCAGGGGAGGAGGGGGTTCTGAGGATTCCTGGTTTTCAAGGTGGTGGCTACAGTCCATCCCAATATCGGGTCACCTTCCAAAGACACTGTCACAGAGCCTCCAGTCTGAACCCATCGCTTCTACTGGGAGAGCAGCTCTCACCACAGACAGATGGGGGGCCTTCATTCTCTGTGTGATCCTCTGTCTCTCCCAGCTTACAGTGATCCCCAAGGCTTGCCTTCAACCCAAAGATTATAAAATTTCTCCTGGGAAAGCCAATGCCCATGATACCCTTGAGGTGTCCTTATTTCTGAGACTTTCCCAGGCTGGGATTAGCTCCACACAGAAACACTTGGGTTTGGTTTTTGCCTGTTTGCATCTCCCCTGCTCACCAGGGTCCCATGCAGCCAGGGCTACAAATGAGGTGACCGTTCTTGATCAAATGTAGCAAACCCTTTCCCCAAAGCCTGGTGACTGCTCCCACATTTGAGAAAACAAACCCAACTTTCCAGGGTTAGGTGGCTGGCTTTCTCTACCCTTTGAGCCAGCCACATCATGTTTAGACAATCTGGCCCTTTAGGGGTCCTTCTGCCTCCCACAGCCAAGATAAACTCCAGATTTCGGGAAGTCCAGCAAGACACCACAAGTGGGGGTAGACGGCATGTTCGGTTTGGGTATGTGGGTTTGGTTTTTGTTTTTGTTTCAGTTAACTCTTGGTTACCTCCCTCTAAACAGACAGCTACAGACAGTTCTTCTAATTCCTCCCAGAAGAGGGAACAACCTACTCGGACAATCTCCTCTCCCACATCCTGTGAGCACCGGAGGATTTATACCCTGGGCCACCTCCACGACTCATACCCCACGGACCACTATCACCTCGAACAGGTGAGCAGCCATCTGGTTCTTCCGAGAGCATGGGGTGGGCGGCTTCTGATTCTGGAACAGCCCCCTTCCCCTTCCATGTGGCCCAAAGCTCAACCCCAGGCATCCTCTGTTCTCCAGATTGCCAGAGAGGTGGCAGTGGCACATCTTTACTTAGTTTTCTGTGTGCCAGACCCCGTGCTAAACCTTTCTTGTGCTTAATCTTGTTGAATCCTCACAAATTATCCCACGAGGCCCCAGTTTATAGAGGAGAAGGCTGAGGGCTCAGAGAGAGAGTCCTTGATGGGACAAGTTACAGATGCAAGCGTGTGCTTACCCAGAGTGCTGTGCTGCCTCCTGAGTTCCTCTGTGCACATGGCTTCCTGGCTTGGTGTGCAAGCCCAGAGCCAGGATCAGAACTAAAGAATGCTGTCCGCTTGGCTCGGGCACCCTGGCATCGCAGGCTGCAGGCCCAGGCTTGCTTGGGGAGATGTAGCTGGAGTCTGGAATTCAGTAATTCAACAAATATTTACCAAGTGGCTGTTTTGCGGAGCAGGTTCCCAAACTGTGGGACGTGGACTGGTGCCCATGGAGGGTGATGTGGCCACCAGGCTGCTTTGAAAAGAAAAAAGGGAGCACAGGGCAGTGAGAGTTTTGTTTTCAACATAAAGCTAGATTTATAGAACTCTAAAAAAATCTTGTTGCGCGCTTCCTAATATTTTGGCATTAAAATGTTCTTAAAAATCACTTTATGGTAGCTATAGATGGGAATTGACCTTTTGACTGTCCTTACTTTGCAAAATAATTGGCAAAGCCTATTCTCCCAGGATCTGTTTTGATTTATATAAGATTGTGGTTTTCCAAAGTCTGTGAAACTCTGTCAGGAATCTAATAGGAATTAGGCAACATGTGTGAGATGTGGTCCCTGCCCTCAAGAGGCTCACAGTCTGGTGAGAGTGATGGATAGATTTAATTACCAGGTGATAAATTCTAGGACAGTATTAGAACGACAATAATGGTGATAGGTTCTGTGTGCACCATGTGTAGATTCTCTTCATTCTCATGATAGCCCTGTGCTGTTTAATAGAGAATCTGAGGCTTGCTGGTAAATTCCAAAGTCTGAATTTTACTCCAGTGGTTTCACTCAGAGCCACGTTCCTCACCCCTTAAAAAGCCTTCATCCCCAGAGGACCTCAGAGGTGGAAAATCTCACTTTCTTCCACACCAAGGGTGCCTGGGCCAGGCAGGCTTACCTGCATCTGTTTAACAATGGATTCAGCGCCTTCCACCCTGGACAGGGCCTCCCTGCAAGCCATAGCAGGACTAGCTGCCCAGATGACTTTGTCGCCTCCAGGAGAATGCCAGGCAGGGAGAGTTTGGAAGGCTGAGGGTGGGGCTCTGGGTCTGGCCTGAGCTCACATTCCAGCCTGCCCCTCACCAGCTGTGAGATCCTGGCAGGATTCAAACTCCAGGCAGTCAGCCTCCAGATCTGCACTCCTACCCTTTCTGTATCTTCCCAACCAGATGACAAGATACCCCTGTATCCTAGCTCCTCGAATCCCTTTTTGCTTTTCTGAACATGACCCACAGTACAAAATGCATATTCTGTTGTGACCCAGTGTGCACCTATTTGCGTACATACAGATACCCACAAATGCCAGCCTTATAAGGGGCAGTACATTCCCGTGCTTTTCCGTTTCACCGGGAAAAAAGCTGGCCTTGCAAAAGAGAACACGCTGTACATAAACAGGTGAAACCAATCTAAGCTGTTAGAAATCAGGACCGCGGTCATCGGAGGTAACTGAAGGGAGGTGGGCAGGGGCCTAGGGAGGCCTCTCAAGTTCTGCGTCTCCCTCTTGGTGTGTTCAGCTTCCAGAAATTCAGAGTGCCTTTTTACAGTCTGCACACGTTCCCTCATGTATGGTAGTACCTCAACAAAAGGATTTCCCACCCAGGAACGGATTGAGAATCACAGCTCGCAACACACCTCTGACCTAGGAGCTGTTCAGTAATTCCAGGATGGGTCCGTTTTTTCCAAGAAATGCCTTTGTCAAGGCCAAGTAAGTGGAGGATTTTGTTTGTTTTTGCCACTGCTATAAAATGGTGTCTTTCTCCCGGGGCAGCCGATGCCGAGGCCCTATCGCCAGGTGAGCTTCCCCGACGACGACGAGGAGATCGTGCGCATCAACCCGAGGGAGAAGATCTGGCTGACGGGCTACGAGGACTACCGACACGCTCCCGTGAGGGGCAAGTCCCCGGACACGTCGGAGGACGCCGACTCGTACGTTCGCTTCGCCAAGGGCGAGGTCCCCAAGCACGACTACAATTACCCCTACGTGGACTCCGCGGACTTTGGCCTCGGCGAGGACCCCAAAGGGCGCGGGGGCGGCGTGATCAAGACCCAGCCGTCCCGGGGCAAGTCCCGGCGGCGGAAGGAGGACGGCGAGCGCTCCCGATGCGAGTACTGCAGGGACATGTTCAACCACGAGGAGAACCGGAGGGGCCACTGTCAGGACGCGCCCGACTCCGTGAGAACTTGCATCCGCCGCGTGAGCTGTATGTGGTGTGCGGACAGCATGCTCTATCACTGTATGTCGGACCCCGAGGGAGACTATACAGACCCGTGCTCGTGCGATACTAGCGACGAGAAGTTTTGCCTCCGGTGGATGGCTCTTATTGCCTTGTCTTTCCTGGCCCCCTGTATGTGCTGTTACCTGCCCCTTCGGGCCTGCTACCACTGCGGAGTGATGTGCAGGTGCTGCGGCGGGAAGCACAAAGCGGCCGTGTGACGCGGTTTCCCTCCTTCCCCTCCTCCTCCTCCCCCCACAGCCACAAGGGAACTTGTTGTCTCCGACATACTCTCACCTTCTTCCCTGCTCCCTGGTACCTTGAGGCGCTGTTCCAGCCTGGGGAGCCTGCCTGGTGGACTCTGCACTTCCCCCCCGCCCCCCAGCCACCCATTCTGCATCAGACACACACCCAGACACACGCACGCACACAGTGTTCGAAGGAAAGGGACCTCCGCACAGACACTCGTGTATTAATAATCTGTAATCAATCTTATACATGTGTTGATTTCATGTCTTTCCTACCCACCTCTTCCATTGCAAAGGCGCCTGTAGTCGGAACTGCCGGTTTGGGGTGGGGTTTATAGTTGGTTTTTCCCAGACGCTCTTTCTCTTGGTTCAGCTTGCCTGTCGCTAAGGAGCGTCGGGTTCCGGCGGATAGGTGATGTCAGAACGATGAAACCCCACCAGAAGTATTTTAACCTGCAGTCAGATTATGTATAGGAGGTGAGCTAGTTAACAAACTTCTACCCCAAAACAGGATCGCTTTAACTAACTTTTGTAAAGCCAAATTTCCCAATGAAGCTGCAGTTTCTATCTGGAGCCCATCATCATTCTCTGTCAATTATTTACTGATGCAAAACATTCACCCATAAAATGAGAATTGAGCCTTAACTTCAGATTAACTTGTATGAATCAGGAAAATTCCTTAAACCGCATTGCATCCTCATGGACCAGGGCTAGAGAAGGGGGATTTCAGGTCTCTCTCAGCCTCCACATAACCCCTAAAGTAGAACTTTTTAAAATTGTGTTACCACCATTTCTAAAAATTGAGCAATATTAGAAGAAAACACTAAGAAACTGTGCTCATTGTTTGGCAAACGAAATAGTCTAGACACACACACACACACACACACACACACACACACACACACACACACGTGTTCTCCAAAGAGTTACAGTTGAGACACTGAGGTTGTAGTAAATAAAATTAAAGGAGCTTCCCACACCCCCACTGGCTATTTCCTGGGGGGGGGGGGTGCATTTTAAATGTGCTAAATCTGAAGAGTGGTAGGTTGCATTTTGTTTGTGGGTTTCTGTTTTTGTTTTCATTCTGGACCGAATTTCACATCACCAAATTCTTCATTTATACTTGGGGGAAAAAAACAAGGCCATATGTAAAAACCCTTCCATGCCTAAGTGTCTTTCTCCTGCATCTCCAATCCCAGACTTGCCAGTTCGGGTGCACAGATGGTTAGGTTAGCAGTCTGGGTCTACCTGTCGCCTTGCCATGTAGGAGGCTTCTAATTAGCTGGAAAAGAGTATTTTTCTAATATATTGCAAGGAGTAGCCAAATCTTCTTGTTGCAGAAAGAAGAAAAGTGAAGAGTGGTACCTAGCATAGTACAATCAGAACGTCATGGAGACCGTAGGGGACAGGCTTGTCAAGGCTGGCTGTTCTTCCCGCCATGATTTCCCTGTGGTAATTGCCAGCTGAGGGCATGGCCTGGCTCTCTGTATTTCCACTTCCCCCATCCCTTCTCTATTGCACACAGGACAGCAGTCTTCAGGGAAGGGGACTTTTTTCCAGTCTGCCAATCATATTGGGGAAGTGCTAGCCATGCTTACCTTCATGGAATGTTTTCAGCTCATCTGAGCGCCCATTACATTTCTTTAGTCAGATCATCGGTGTAAATACTCCGTGTGCTTAAGAGTTAGTTGGTAGACGTTTTTCCTTTGTTGGAGTGACTGGTTTGGGTCTTCCTGCTTGGAAAAGGAGCAGAGCGCTGTCAGTCTGGTGATGGAAGAAACGAGAACTGCTTCCCAGCCTGGAGAACATGTAGAAAACCTCCAGCCAGCCTCCAGACCCTGTCAAGAGACCAGCCCCCACCCCCACCAAGTCCCCCGTCCTGAGGCATTTCCTCAGGGCCTCTCTCAAGGTCTCTCCTCTCTACAAAGCACAACACTAATGTAGGTTTGTTAGACCTCAGTTCAAGTGCCCCTATTTATTTCACTAGGAACACACGTATCCTGCCGCATTTTGTTTGTAGCCCCTGTCTAGTGGTTACTTACCCCTTGTCCTGTTCCACCCCTTTGAAGAGTTATGCTAGTGAATCTTATTCCGCCTGTACGTTTTGGTCTGTGAAGGCAGCGAGCGGTTAAGGGCACAAGGACAGCCATAGGGACATTGATGTAAATACGTCTCTAATTGCCACACTGCAGCTGAACAGTGTGTAGTTATTTTCCCAGTCAGCTTTGCCATACTGACGTCAATCATTTGAGAGAAATTATTCAGATTTTATTTTTGTATCTGTGGTAACAAAACATTAACCAAAAGATTTGTTTGGAAGCTTCCTCTGACCAACCCCCGCCCCCCCAAGCTATTTGCTCACATTAACAAAGTGCCTGAAGCATAATTCATTCTTTACCTGTATACTAAAAACCCTGTTGTATTGATTTTTTTATAATAAGCCTTTTTACCTCTGTGTAAAAAATATATATACAAGTGTATGATGTACATTTTAGTTCTTAACTTTTTTTTATGGTTTCTAATATGTATGACCAATGTAGCCATTGCTTTAAAACGTACCATGTAAATATAAACACATCCTATCAGATCGTTGACTTTGGGGTATTTGTCTGGCAGGAGATGGGGAGGGGCGGTTGAGCCTCGGCGCACGCGAGAGTTCTCGCACAGAGGATGGGAAGGGGCTTCCTTTGGAGAAGGACGCGTGGACACTGGTCTGTTTTTGTGAGGCCCTTCCCGGCTGTGGTTATGTCATATTCCCGAGGGGAGACTGCAGCTCCTTGGGCTTGGATGCCTCAAGCGAAAGGAATGCTGTATGTCACAGCCCCGGGAACACCCCCTCGTCCTAGGCCTGGCTTCCCCCACGCGTGCTCCTCAGAGGGAACAGCTGTACTTCCTCCGAGTTGTTTTCCACCAATTCCTGCCGAACCTCGGGTGGGTAGGCTTGGCGTTTGGGAGACGGTTTCTCACAGAAAACAACTGTTAACACTACAAGACCCTTGGTCTCCTCAGAGTGGTTCTGTTTCAGTGACATCTGGCCCCCTTTCCCTTCCAAATGGGCTCTTTGGATGCCCAAAAGTTACAATAGCAATCCCCCGGAGGAAGTAGAGTGTGGGGTCTTTTAAGGGTCACAGGGGAATGTTTCAGCTCCTCTCTAGAGAACCAAGCACGGGCCTTAAAAAGACACGGAGAGGGGCCCTCTGTCTTAGTTGTAACTCTTCCAAGCCACTGGCAAAGGTGAAAAACAATAGGAGATGCTGGAAGTTGGAAAGCAAGAGGAGAGAAGCAAGCCATAAAGATTAGTAACTAAGAGACAATCAGAGAACATGAAATCTGTTCGGAGTAGGAGGGGCATAAAGATTACAGTGGGTGAAGAGCCAACATGGAAGAAGACATCCAATGGAAAATATGTTTTCAAGAAAGTTGATGAGCCCTGTTCCTTTCCCAGCCTCGCTCTCATATCTCTGCTCACCTCTCTGGGGGCTTGAAAAGGGATCACCGGTCCAGAGCCTTGCTCAGTCCTCCCTGCTCTCTGGGGCCCAGCAGTCGGCCTCAGGATTAGCTGGTCATCTGGTGCCTTGTGTGCTCAGCCAGGAGCTGGGCGTGCTGCACACATCATCTTTAAACCCCCGCCAAGAAGAGGGATCATTTCCACTCAGGTGAGAAAGCAGGTATAAAGTCCATTAATTCAATCTTGATTCAGTGTCTCTGTCATTATTAGCCATTAACCCTTGGGCAAGTGACTTCACCTCTCGGAGCTTTGGTTTTTTCAGGCAGAACAAGTGGAATACCACCTGTCCTCTGCACATTGGGAAGGTCAAAGGCTGTGCTGTAGTTACAGTGCAGTATACAGGAGGCGCTTCGAAATGCTAGTCCTGTCCTCAGTTCCTCCTGTATTCTGGAAACCTGAGGAAACATCAGGAACTGGAGAGGACAACCTCTTGAAGCACAGGAGGCTGAAGTCATTGTGGCTATTTTGTGAGTAGACCTACCACATACACGTTAAGATTTCTTTTTCTTAACCTCTCTGCAATTCTAAATTCGGTTTTGATTCCTTGCTGGCCCAAGGGCTAGCTGCAGAATTGTACTAGGCTGGCTGGATTCCTCCAGGACCAATGCATGCAACTTGCCAGAAAGTCCACGGCCTCGGTCTGAGCAGTTCTGCTGAGAGGGCTAGATCTGGCTCAGCCTATTTGACCAGGATTGGAGCACATGGTCTTGCAGAGCTCTGCTATCTTAAACCTTCCAGCCCTCTGGTGGCCTTGACCCCTGCAAGTCAGTGCCCTCCTCTCCTGGGCCCCTGCTTCTCCCTGCTGCTCCCCACCCCACATCCCCAACAGTGCCCCCCCACCCCACCCCCGGAAAAGCAGGACATCTTCCCAGGGGAAGAATTGTTGGAAGAATTCTGTTTTACAGGGACTCCTAGGGTGGTTTGTTATTCTAATGTGGCTTCGGAGCAGGCAACCCCTCTGTGTGAATGAGGGGCCAGAGCTTTTAAAAGTGTGCGAACTGCTTGCCGCATTCTTACTGCAGGCACCTGGGACTTTCTGATTTGTGGGGTGAGATGGTTAGAAATGCCACACTTGGTCTAGGCCTGAACCAGATGTGTGCAACGAAGGGAGATGGGCCTGGGGACATCTTGCATGACCAGACGCTCGTTGTCACCTAGCAGATCAGGGCCCAATGATCTTCTCAGCTCATGGCCCCCAAGAGAGAGGGCAGTGTTGGGTGGGGGTGAGGGTGGGGCCCGGACCGAGTGAGTAGCAGGAGGTACGCTCCCTATTTACTGATGAGGAATAAAACCAGTTATGTGATAGTCATGCCTGGTCCTCTTCTCCCCTCTTCTGTCTCTTCTCTCATTTTTCAGAATTAAAAATGGAAGGGGGGGGTGCTCCGATTATAGACTATACATAGTCATTATAACAATGTCATATGCTACAAAAATATAAAAATGGGAGTCTCCTTGTGTTAGCTTGCTAGGGCTGCCATAAAGTACAGACTGGGTAGCTTAAACAACGGAAATGTATTGTCTCCCTTACGGAGGCTAGAAGTCCAAA